TTAGAATTTCCTAATTTTAAACAGTAGTATATCACACTTTCCAGTGTCATAATGAGCAAAACAATTGCACAGCCACGACAAATAATTGAAAACAGTTGTAATCTCTTTTATTTTTACGATAATAGATTTACCCATTGTCAGTCGAAGCGTTTCCACGAAACACTTATTCATTACCATACCCATAGTATTCCATACCCACAAGTTTTATGCATCAGCGTACGAGACAATGTCGAATAAATATTTGCACAGCTCTGAAGGAATAAAGAAAAAATAATTTTTCAAATAGTTACAAACTTCAACAACGTACCATACTTACAAATTCACCAATTTTTCAAAATCGATAAAAACGATTTCTCTGTTAACAGCGCATAAACAACACCACTCGAAGCCTACGTTATCGATTAATCGACAAATGATAACACGTCTATTTAGAACGTATGACGATTGTATAACTGAAAAAAAAGATGGCATTGATTATACGATCGATTGTCTCATCCTGATAAATTGACAAATTCTGAAGAAAAATTATCTTCTCTCACACAAAAAACATTCTCTATTGTTCTGATAATTTTTTATCTTTTTTTTTTTTAATTTACCTATGCTTAACATACTTTTCTGCAATTAACAAATTATTGTAGTTTTAATATCGTAGAAACGTGTTTTTACAATTTATGCAATTTTTACATTCTTATTCGGTGCAAAAACAGACGTTTCCTCGTCACTCTGTAGTTCCATGCATTTTGAATAATTCATTAGTCGAGCGTACGTATCTTCCTCCTCTGACGTAATTTATCAACGAAGAATTTACGATTACAACGCGGTTTCATTCAGATCAAAGTCAAAGAATTTTCCATTTTTAAGATTAACGTTTAGTTACATTATTATCGTATTATGTCATTACTAGAGATACTAATTGTAAGAGTGTCTATTTATATTAGTATTAGGGTTATCGGTATCATCGGTGTTAATATTAGAGTCAATTTTTACGCTAAATTTTGTGCTAAAATTAACACTGTAATATTAGCAATATTTGAATATACAGCGAAATAGACCGCCTAATTATCTTCCCAAACTATTGTGGTATGGGAAAATTTTCATACATAATTTGAATGATCCAAAAGAATGAATAAGATGGAAGAAATTTTTTTCCTTTTTCAAAGTCACTTATGTTTTTTGGACTCCAAAATTGTAAATTAATCGTGAAACTTTCTTTTATTTTTCACTATATTTTTCATGGAAAAATTTTTCTTCTGTTTTATTTACCCTTTGAGATCATTCGAATTACGTATGAAAATTTTCCTAAATCTTTTCTTCATTTCTTCTAAAATGTGCAACGAATATTTGGCCCGATTTTCATTAACCTTCGCAAGTTCGTCCACGTTTCACCAAACTCTATAAAAGACTGAACAATTGAAATCGTTCGTTCACATTTATATTTGACAAATTTCTTTATTCAATTTCCACATTTTCCCAATTTCAACGATCGACAAATACCGCAGTAACTGCAGTCTCTCCATGCCGATTCGCGATTAACGGCCGGACATTAAGCATTCGAAATGCAACCGCTTAATTAACTTGTTTGACACCATTGATTAAAACACGTCTGTAACGTTTCCTTTCGTGACGAAACCGCCGGATAACGTTTTACCATCGCTGCTTACGATCACCGCTGATTGTGAGTCACGCTTTATCAATCACGACCGATTCCTCGCAACTTTTCCAGTGAAAATCGTCACCGTTTTTCCTGGAGAAAAACGAAGGACGCGAGTGGATGGAACAGTTGCGTCAACTATAGGCGAGACTTTGCGCCTCGGATTTGTGTAACATGCAAATCTCTTCAGCGAGAATGGTATTTTCGGCCGACCTTTGAGACATCAATGTTCATTTGAAACAAAGAGAACGCTAAATGTGAATTTTTTTCCCATTCAGAATCACCGTGTTTGGAGATTAAACAAGTTGGTTTGAGACAGAAGTGAATTTTCGAAATTGTCAGGTTTTGTCGAGACACCGTTTTTTTGGGACGTAAAGCCCGATATGGAGTCTACGAAACTCCTCAACCTCCAGTTAGTTTATACATAAATATAGAGCATTTCTGACAACTTTTCTTACCGATTTACCTTTATTACACATTCTCCTAAATAGAATGGAAGAAAACGAAAAAGATAGAATCAGCGAAGTCTCTGAGACTCCGCCTCGACAGTAGAGCGTTAAAGTTGTGATTCAAAGTGTTGCAATAAGGATTGCTATTTTTCTCAAAAGTGCTTTTTTAAATTTAAATTTCTGAATGTGAGCTTCCGAAGTGTTGCTACGAAAATTCCAATTTTTGTAAAAAGTGCTGTTTTCAAAATGAATTTTCATGCGATGATTTTTTAAAAATTTCTATATTTTGTAAGTTCCAATTTTGGAATTATATGGAATAATCGAAATGATAATATTTCGAAGGTTTTTTAATTATCCTTTTAATGTGTCATATATTCAGCAATTTTCAGGTTTTTGGTGTACATTAGAATGTTGAATTTGCATCTTGAAAGTAATCCAATTCTTGGTGAGAACATTTACATAACTCTCTGAAATAACTTCTTCTCGAGACTTCGATTTATTTAAATTTTAAATTAACTTCAAATTATATACAAGTACCTCTCTCTATCGTCTTTACAAGAATTATAAAAATATCCCACAATATTCCCACGTCTAACAACAGATTAAACTAAAAGAATTTCTATTCAAAATAAAATCTTTCTCCTCTTCAATTGGCCGCCATTTTGTTTCTCACCGGTTTCACCGAACGATTCAGGCAAGCTTTTTAAATTTTATTTCTAATCGTTGCAACGAACGTATTCGTATTAACAGTGAAGAAAGAATTTCTGAAGAAAAAAAGATTCATGAAAACTGTCGTAAATTCGTGAAATTTCGAAGATTAGGAATTATTCGATTCTACAATATAAGAATTTTGCGTGACAATTTCAGGACGATTCTCGTTCAACTTCTTTTTAAGCAATGATACTTTCCATAAAAAATTCCACGTGGACACTTTTGCTTGGAGCCTTAACTGGACAGCATAGGGTCGAAGCACTCGTCGATAGTACAGTATTTTTCCAGCGAGTCTTGTGAGGTCGCTGGCAACGCCTTGAACACCTCGGCTAAACCAACCACCGTCAACTTCAATTAGCTTGCATAAACTGCAATAGGTGTGGAGAACGTACGAAACTCTTCGTCTCTGATTTTTCTCACGCGAACTGATCGTTCGCTTTTACAATTTTTTAATTTGTTCGAAATTATTTGCATCTCAGCAATTCGCAGTTGCAATGGAATTTAATATGTAAGTTTGAACGATTAATTCTGCAAGATGAGAATTTCTGAGATAACTTGAAACATAACCCTCTAAACGTGACTTAATTTTTCCTCGTTCATCGGAAGAAAAATTACGATTGATCAGAATTTGATATTTTTAGAAAATGATGCTTTTCAAATTTACTCGAAAATATTTGCATTTCTGACGTAATTTAATAAATAAGTTTAAACGACCGATTCTATAAAATGACGAGAATTTTTCGGACAATTTGGAAGATTCGTTGAACTTTCTATATTTCCTATTTTTCTTCGTTCACGAGAAAGAACGAAAAATGAAATAGTACGTCAACGTAGAATCGCAAAGAATGAACCAGACGAGAATGTTCAAACGTAAGAAAATTAGTATATTTCTCAAAAAATGCTGCTTTCAAAATTTAATTGTCGATTCGTCGTTATTTTCTGAAAATTGTTCGTCTACATTTGTTCATCCACAAAAGTACCGGCAGCTTGCGTAAAAACACGAAAAACTTGATTTCGTGCACTCGTAGACAACGTAACTATGATTTAACATTCTATCAAAGAAAGATAACATGTTGTGAAAGTAATTTTCTTACCTAATCCACTGTGAAAACGATGTAATTTACCGACAATAGAGTCGAGATAACAGCAAAGATTCGCAGCATATCTTCACTTTTTTCTACTAGATAATTTAACAATCATCTTCTCGTTACATTTTTGCTATCCTTGCATAAATTTTTTCCAATTTTCGTGCAAATTATCGAACTTCTGTTTACATACAAAATTAATATTGCGAAAAGTGTTATTTCCAAGATAAGAGAAACCGAGCATTTATCATTTTTACAATTGGCAAAATATTGTGGAAGAAGATTTCACAGAGGTCGGTGATA